GTGGCCCTCAGGAGGGCTGTGTTTGCAGCAGCGGGCTGGGTGGGCAGGGTTGGCCTGCGGGACTGTGGGCCAGGCTGAGCGGAGCCGCGGGCGGGTGTCGGGTTACAGCAGGCTGGGTGAGCACGGGGACTGGCTGATCTAGTGAGCGACTTTATAATTACCTTGCTGATTCGTTAGGGGAGGCTTTGTCTTACTTACCAATTAGCATGGATGTTACTGCAGAGACCTCTGAAACCCTGGGTAGGCTTCGGTTTAAAAATAAGAACCTTCCGATTCCAACAGCCTCACCGTTTGTCGCCAGCACGGTGGAGGGGTGGGAGTGCCGCCGTCTTCCCGTCTGCTGTGACAGAGCCTCTTCCCCTGGTGGGCTGTTACCTCTGTTGCTGTTGCTCCCCTGACCATGGGCCTTCACTGGTGTCTGAAGACTGCCTGCCGCCATTCCCACCTATCATGTACCCTTGTGCCCAGCTACCGCCCAGGCCCTGGAGGCTGGTCTGTTTCTCTGAGCTTCTCCGGTTCTGTAGCATCCCTGACCACCACTTCCCTTGCAGTATGCTCTTTTTGTTCTGGCACTACTTTGTGCCTTGAGGAGGAAAGCAGGCGTTAAAAGCTTAGGTATGATCAGGTGCCGTAGTCTAGGTGTAACATGTTAAGTGTGGAGAGCTGTCTAAACCAGTGTGGTTCCCCACTGAAGCAGGATGGGGCTTTTCCTCACTGCCAGCTGCTGACTCCACAGCACAGTGACTCACAACAGGGAAGGCCAGGCTGGTAGGGGTGTTCTGCCAGGGACAGAGCTCTTCGTTTGGACCACCTCAAAACAGGACACCAAAGGCGCAAAGACCAGGAACCGAGAAGATTCTGTTTCAGAAGTTGTTTCTACACAGTTTTTAGCCGCTCTAGCCACTGTTGTTAGAGTGAAAACAGGGTGCCCCCCCCCTTGGGGGTCTTAGTCTCATTAATGAAAATAGGTAAGAATGAGTTCAACAGAAGCTCAGGGACGCTTATTAGAGTTTAAAAGAACACCCCAGGGCAGAAGAGTCATAAACGTCAGCAGCTACCCTAGGAAGAGAGTGGAAGAGAAAAAGACAGCCCTGGCCTACAGACACAGGACAAGTAGCCACAGGCAGGAGGACGGCTTTAGAAAGAATAAGGAAGCCCAGAGTATCAGAAAAAGCACACTTAGGTTCTGACCAGCCTCTGAGAGAGAGGCAGAGAAAAGAGGAAGAGTTCTACTTTCCTGGCTGGGCCTCAGAAATGGCCGCCGACCTGGAGACTGGGAGGGGCTGGGCTGAGGGGGAAAGGGTAGAAGAGTACAGTTTCTCATTAAAGGGAAAACATTCTCTACCAGTCTCTTTGGCTGTTGGTTTGAGACAGGGTCTCCCCTGGCCAGCCAGGAGCTCCCCAGACGAGACTGGCCTCAAGACTCACAGAGATCTGCCTCCTGAGTGCTGTCAGGAAAGATGTGAGCTGCCCTGCCTAGAGGTGGTTCCAGCCAGGGAATTGGCTACTCAGCCAGTGGTCCACCCACTTGCCAGGAGTTTCCCCTTATTGGGCCTTTACTGCCACTCACTCTCTGTGCCTGAGACCCCAAATTCTGCTGTAGAGTTGATTTATTTAGGAGCATCCCTTTCCTGCCACTGACCCAAGAGCAGCTTCCCAAGGCAAGAGCTGAGAGCCTGGGCAGCCCCAGATGCAGGCGAGGAATCACTCACGCTCTCTTGGGAACCTTCTCTTTTTTGGCTCCTTTTTGTCTTCAAAAGTAATAAATTAGTGTAGAGGCCTGGGGTGGTGGGGGTCTGCCGCAGTCCCTGGTCACACCAGTGGCCACACTGAACCTGTATAAGGAAGAAGGAAGTGTCAGGGGATGTGGCCAGCCTCACAAGACCCACCTGCCTCGCCGGCAACCTCTTTGAAGACCCCATGGTTAGGGTGGCGTCATTGCCTTCTGAAAACCATGGCATGGAAGCTGGAGAAGTAGATGGCTCCATGGTTAAAAGCAATAGTTTCTCCTTCAGAAGACCTGGGTTTGCTTCCCAGCACCCACATAGCAGCTCACAGCTGTCTGTTACTCCAGTTCCAGGAGATCTGGCACGCTTTTCAGATTCTGTGGGCACCAGGCATGAAAGTGGTTCACAGACATATATACAGGCAAAAATACTCATACATACAAATTAAATCTTTTTGAAAAGAGAAAAACCATGTCAATTATACTATATCCCTGGAAAATGCAAACCCCGAGTTTCTAAGTTCAAGAAGAAATGGGTGCACGCTATTTAGAGTGTGTACACGGTAGCACTCAGTTAAGCCCCGGGGGGTTCCACGGTGACTGATGACTGCCCGACTCCCCTGTCGTCCTAACCTGCCCACATCCGGGATGCTAAGCATGCTCACGTTCGTTCTGCTCAAGATGGCTCTGCGCTCAGCAGAGTGCTGCCCCAGCCCTCCCCCTCTGATGACCAGGTGCCGCCGCTTACTCTTAGGCATTCTTTGACGCTGTAATTGGATGTGAGATTAGTTCTGTCTTGTCCAGTCATCTCCTTGCTTTGAAACTGGGACTCAGGTATCAGTTTTGACCCTGTCTGAGTAAGAAGTGAAAATCTTAGTGTGTTTCTCCTGTCAGGTATAATGACCATTGTTTGGAATGAATTGAGTTAAAACAAACTTTTGCATCTCCTTTTGACTGCTGCCCAGTCTGCCAGTCCTGGTGGGCAGAAGAGGACTCCATAGTACAGCCCATCGTGCAGTCAGCAGGTGTCCGCGAGGAAGCCCTGCAGCTGTGGGCTGGGGGGAGCCTGCAGGTGACAGGCAGCAGGTGCTTTGGTGGTGGATAGCAAATGATTGTTTGTAAAAGATTTTCTATTTGTCCCACGAAATCATAGATTATTTTGCTTTTGTTTTTCTTTTTTTCCCCCAAGACAGGGTTTCTCTGTGTAGCTTTGGAGCCTATACTAGAACTCACTCTGTAGACCAGGCTGGCCTCGAACTCAGAGATCCACCTGCCTCTGCCTCCCGAGTGCTGGGATTAAAGACGTGTGCCACCACCACCCGGCAATCATAGATGTTTAATTTTGTCAGTCCATATAACATTAAAGGACAGTGATTTAAAAATAAAGAAAGACATCATTTTTGAATAGTTGAAAAGAATTAAATTCATATTGCACGGGGGGGGCATCTGAATGCCTTAAAAATAAAGGCTTTGAGATGTCACCCCTTAAACCCAGGTATGTTTAATCTTTGAAGCTTGAGCATAAGGCGTTCCCTCTAGTCTGGACGATTGCGTTGTCATCATAAAGTGCTGCTCATTGCTTTTCGCCCTGCCTGCTTAGAACAGAAAGGGGCTTCACCGTCAGGACAGGAGTAGTGTGCTCAGGCCCAGAGCGAGGTGGCCTGGTAGAGACCAGGGGAAATCGTGGATCTCAGCGATCACGATCCAGCATCACTGGAAACTTGGGGAGCACAGATTCCTAGAGCCCAGCATCTGGGCTTGAACATGTGAGGGGCTCACGGGTGGGGTCTCCCGGCTGGAGCTCTCTCTCCCCGCTGCTCTAAGGCCCGCAGCCTCCTCTGGTGGCCTCTCAGGAGCTCCTCCACCCACAGACTCCCTGCTCTGCCTCACACTCCTCTGCTCTGTCTTTTCATTTTTTTTGCCCACTTAACTGTTCATTTACTGAGGACGATTTTGGTGTCAGGGAGGGGCCCTGAGCTGAGTACTGAGGTGACAGAGCGGACTTCTTTTGCCCCTAGGGGCCTTACAGTCAGGAGGTGGTTGACAAACATGCAAATGGGGCCACCGAGCGGGCTCCAGGGGGTCTCTGCTGCTCCTTCAGGCTCAGGGCCGGAATGGTGGGACTGTGGGTAGCAGATCACAGTCTTCTGATTGTCTAGAGTTTGGACCTTTGTCTTCTGAGGAAAGTTGTACTGACACTTGTCTTTTTTCTGTTGCCATGTTTTTTGTTGTTTGAGACAGAGTAGATTATCTCTGCCTCTGGCTTCCCAGTGCTAGGATTAACGAGAACAAAGCTTCTGAGCATTTGGGTTTCCTGTGAGAAGCTGTGCACTAGAGACCACGCCCCACACAGTCCAGTTTTGTTTGTTTCCTACGTGTTTGTCCTTTACAATTACTTTTTAGTTTTCTGCAGTCAGTGTTTGCTAGATCAGCTTTACAAATACCGACTAGGCGGGGGAGGGGTGCAGCGCACATCCAATGTGAGTGAGGCTGTTTTCAGTCTCGAATGTCAGGAGTTTGTTCCTAACCATTGGGAAGGGGTCACATTTTATCTCCAACCTTACAGTCAGAGCCACTGGATATTCGGAAGAAAAGCAATTGTTGATAGTTTTTAGGTTTAGGTAGCAGGAGAGGAAAGGAGGGGCCATCCATCCCCGTGGGGTGTCCTAAACTTAGGAGCTCATGGCTCTTTGGGTAGATTTGGTTCTTTGCAAGCTGAGGGAGGGGACACAGCAGAGCCCAGGTATTCCAGCAAGGAACCTTTAGAGGGCCATGACTCTGGAGCCCTTCCTTCCTCGGAAGGGGAGCTCTTCCTAACCTTCCCAGGAATCCCTTAATGAGCCCGTGCTACTGCTCCGGCAGGCTGCCCCTTGTGAGGCCTTTTGAGAGGTCACGTGCCTCTCCAACTTCCCTTAAAGAGCTATTGTTATTTTTTTTTGAGTGTCTGAGGAGAAAGGCTTCTGAGGAGCCGGCCACCCTGCCCAGTAGCCTGTGCCAGGCCCAAAGCGACCAGCAGGGCCATGCCCAGCAGGGCCGTGCGTGTGCCTGGCTGTTGCTGTCTAGCTGTTGAGAGCATGCCGGGTCTTCTTTGAGTTATATCTTGCTTAAGGAGTTGGAGCATACAAAGCTGGAGGTTCTCTGAGCTGGCAAATGGCAAGGCTGTTACCTTGTATCAGTCAGATTTGGGGGGGGGGGATCCTCATGTCGGCTTTGTTACACTTTTGCTTTACTATATGGCTTAGCTAGATTGTGTACATTTTGAAGTTTCATTGGGTGTGGGGAGCCATTTTTATTTGATTCCAATACAAAACAGAAACATGGAAACAAGCCTGTTTGAGACATAGTCCACCAGAGGTCCTTATTGACATATGTGAAGAACACCCAAGATTCAACTTGTCTACCTGGTCCTGGTCACAGAATTAGAGGGGCCCTTCACCCTCCTGTTGAAGGCAGCAGAACAGATACCTCTACAGGCCTTCCTAAACACCAGGGTTAGCATGCAGCTCTAGCCAGATGCTCACTCTAATTGGAAGTTAGCTGCTTCTCACACTGGAAAACTCCACAGATGCTGTTCAGCTGTGGGAATTCTGCTAAATGCCTGCAGCATCACACGCCTGGGTGTGGGTTTCTTTTGTTTGTTTTAGATTTATCTTATTTTTTATATGTGAGTGTCTTGCCTGTATGTGTATATCTGCACAATTTGTGTGCCTAGTGGTGTCCTTGGAGGTCAAAAGAGGACATGAGGTCAGAGGTAGGCACCAGGCCCCCTGGAACTAGCTAGAGATGGCTGTGTGTCACCATGGAAGTGCTAGGAACTGAGTCCTGGGTCTCAACAGTAACAACTGCTCTTAACCCTGAGTGAGTCATCTCTTAGCCTGTAGGTGTGACTTCTGTAGAAGTGGCAATTATTTCTAAAGAAATGAATTAGTAGGCCAGCAAGATGGCTCATTGAGTATGTGCTGAGAGCCTTAATCGCTGAGTGAGCCATGGTAGAAGCGTAGAACTGACTCCAGCAACCATCCCCGGCCCCCACAGATGTACACACGTGCATACACTCAAAACAGACAGATGAACAAGCAGAAAACCTGGGTCTCACTGAGGAGCCCTGGCTGGCTGGCCTGGACCTCACAGAAGAAGTGTGTTGTTGAAAAAGTACTGTGTTCCGTGTATCTGTACCCGAGAGACAGGAGACTAAGATGCAGATTGCTTAAGTCTAAAAGTTTCAATCAGTTTGCTTGGCAGAGATCACATCTAAAAAATACAGAGAGGAAGATAGAGGAGGGAGGAAGGGAAGGAGCAAAAACTATAGGCAGTACCATTGTACCCTGGCCACAAGCCTGACGATGGGACGTCTCCATGCTGTCACCAGAGAAGATGAGTGAGGATGCTGAATGACAGTGAGTTTCTGGTTTGGTCTTGGCTGTATTTTAGTGTTTCTCAGACTTCTGTGCTGATGGGCTGTCTTGATAGCCCTACCCCCCACCCAGTCGTTTGTGAATTTCAGTAAAGCATAAAAACAGTTATGTGAAAAGTGAAGTAAAAGGAAACCGAAAGAAAAAGCCTGTAAAAGCTTGCGCTGTAGGGTAGGTTTGCAGACCCGACAGCACTTTGTAATTTGCTATAATCCTCCCTAAATAATACAGTGCCTTGCTTACGTCATCTGAATGGGTACCAGCTCACAGGCCAGCCCCACCTATGAAGAGTAGTTTGAGAAATGCTGGTCTGGGCTGTGCGTGTACGTATTGTGCACTCACACATTTAAGTGGCCTGATCACAGGGTATCTAACAGATCAGATAGCGCCGTGTCCAAATTGAATGCACTTCCAAGCTGTTTAGCCAAAGGAACATTTTTTTTCCCTGAGAGTATTAAATGCTTTAGTTGTAAGCAGATACACATATAAATATACAATTACTTTAAAATCTAGTTGCCTGGTGATGCCTCTGATGCATTGTTTTGCAGAGTGACATAAGACTACCTCTTCTCTGGTTTGTCAAGTTTAAATGAGTACAGATCCTCCCAAGGAAGTGTCCGATGTAAAGAAGGCAGGCAGTAGACTCACTAGAGGTAGGAATCTGTGAGAGGTGGGATAAGCCAGCCGTTTTTATCAGACCCTCCTTGTCTCAGCAAACAGTTGCATTGGTTGCTGTCTTTGGTCTGGTTTTTGGTCCTGATGATTGATACCCATCTTTGTTAGTGCTTACGAAATGAGGGAAGTGGTTTCATCAAGTAATTCCACATTCTTTAGAAGCAGCGACAGATCTCGGAGCAGTGCTGGCGTGGACAGGCTCCGGCTGTGTTGGCTCTCCCTCCAGGAGTCAGACATCCTCTGTGGGGTCCTGTGCCGCTAGCCTTTCCTTTGGGGACCAGACTTGAAATTCAAAAGACTTGTGAGCCAGAGGAGGAAGTTGGTGCAGTGACTCCTCCCACCTGGGAGACAGCAGCCCTGGAGTGAGTCCTAGAGAGGGAGTAAGGAAGAGACCGACAGAGTAGCTGCCACGCGCCTGTGGAGAGGGTCCGCTGGCTCCAAGGCTGAGTGCCTCAGAGCAGTGAGCAGTGTGACCGGCGTAGTGAGACCATGCCTCCTACTCTGAGAAGTGGTTAGGAAGCCAGGTTGGGCTGGGCACAGTGGTAAGTGGACAGAAACCCAGCACCTGGTAGGCTGAGGCACAAGGATTTTGAGTTCCAAATAAGAACTCAGTCCAAAGATTTGTAAGAAAGTCTGCTTCAAAATGTGAAACAAAAACAAGACAGTAAGCATTGTGGGGCAAGCTGGTCCTGAGAGCTTGTGTCCACAGCAGTTCTGACAGGGGTGGCAGGGTGGCGGGGGACTAGGAAGGGCTATCGCGATAGTGACCGCCAGCTAGGCAGCAGTATTCAGAACGGGACCTCACTGTAACCTTCAGCGGATTCTCAAGGTCTAGGGTATAAAAACCTTACCTCTTTCAGACACCCAGGTTTCTGTGTCGTCAGGGTAGGTGTTTGGTTATGACAGGTCTCTGGCTTAAAGCAGATGACGTCAAAGCAAAGCGGTCGTGTTCGTCCCCACTGTGTGCTGTCAGACAGAGCCAGGCAGAAACCCGGGCTGGGAAGCATGCATTCCACTCAGTCTAGAATGAAAGGCAGCGGCCGCTCAGTCTCTGTGGTCACCGAGCTTCACCACATGTCCCCCGACAGGCAGGAAGGCTGTGTGCATAATGAGGAAGGAGAAGCATTTTGAAAGCACACACGGTTCTACCAAAACTGTATGTGCTCTTCCTGCTCTCCCTTGACGCTTTCAGTTGTTTGAGTTGTGTTCAAGCTGTAATTTCTAACACCTCTGTCTGCTGAGGTTGTGCATTGTATGTTCCTGAGCTTTAAAAATAAATGCGTTTGGGGGAGGGAGGTTGAACCTGTGTGATAATGTTGGGCATACGAATGCAAGCACATGAGCTGAGAAAGTCAAAACCATGGTTTCCATGGTAACTCCTAACTTCTCTGTGTCGTGTTGTACACATTACTCACGCAGAACGTTGGCCAGGATTACCTAGTGGTAAAAATTGCTCTGCAGGCGGACAAGGGTGGGTGTCCTACGTCTCCCTCTACGGGGCCTCCCCCCCCACCCCCCGTGAGTCCACCTGTTCTGAGGAACCCCAGGCAGGAGACTGCACAGCCGGGTCCTGACCTCTAAGCTGTCGTCTTTTCTCATGGTGGAAATTAGCCTTCATGTGATTCACGCTGTTTCCTGTCTTTCTCCCTTGTAGATATATGTTGGGTAAAGGAGGGAAGCGGAAGTTTGATGACCATGAAGATGGGCTGGAAGGCAAAATTGTGTCCCCCTCCGACGGTCCATCCAGGGCGTCTTACACCTTACAGCGTCAGACTGTCTTCAACATTTCCCTTATGAAACTGTACAACCACAGGCCCCTGACAGAGCCCAGCTTGCAGAAGACTGTCTTAATTAACAACATGTTGAGGCGGATCCAGGAGGAACTCAAGCAGGAAGGCAGCCTGAGGCCTGCATTCACCCCCACTTCCCAGCCCAGCGACTCGCTGGGTGACAGCTGCAGGGAGGCCCCACCTGCCTTCACGCACCCAGTCGCGCCTCCCACTCACCCCTGTGACCCAGGAAGCACTGCACCCCTGGAGGCCTGCCTCACCCCTGCCTCCCTGCTAGAGGACGACGACACTTTTTGCACTTTGCAGGCTGCTCCACCTGCGGCTCCTCCCAGACTCCCTCCTCCAGCCCTCCCGCCAGAAAAGGACAGCTTCTCTTCCGCCCTAGATGAGATCGAGGAGCTCTGTCCCACATCTACCTCCACAGAGGCTGTCGTGACGTCAGCGGCGCCCGACAGCCCGAAGGGAACCTCCAGTGAGGCCAGCGTCCCGAAGCCTGAGGGGCCCCAGGAAGGCCGCACGGATGACTCACGATTCATGGACTCTCTACCTGGGAACTTTGAAATAACCACGTCCACAGGTTTCCTGACAGACTTGACCCTGGACGACATCTTGTTTGCTGACATTGACACATCCATGTACGATTTTGACCCCTGCACATCTACATCAGGGACATCCTCCAAAATGGCCCCTGTGTCAGCTGATGACCTCCTCAAGACCCTGGCCCCCTACAGCAGTCAGCCTGTCGCCCCAAGTCAGCCTTTCAAAATGGATCTCACGGAGCTAGACCACATCATGGAGGTGCTTGTTGGGTCCTAAGACTGTGCCTAGCCAGGCCCTGCAAGCGTCCCTGCCGCCCTGACAATTTCTCCGCACTGTGCATGTACCCTTGCTTGCCTTTTTCAGAGAAAAAGAAAACTTCACAAACGGATCACACTAGTATTTTCTTTGAGCAGAGTTGGAGTGCCTTCATTCGAGTATGACCACTTTTAATACACTCTCTGCGTGGGCTCCTCAGAGACCCGCTGCCCTGGCCTAGGAGAGAAGACGTTTGAAGACTGTGTTGCTAATGCTGAAAGGTGACCATGAGCAGTTCAAATGAAGCACAAGGATTGCGTTGGAAAAGCTGTAAATTGCGTGTGCATATTTGTCTATTTTTTCTATAAGTTTTATTGCAAGAGGTAAAAAAGAATATATATCTATATTATTTGGATAATCTCAGTACCTTTCCTGGCGTTTTGCCCTGTATAAGTTGACTTGGCAATTCCGCCTTTTTAGAGGCATTAACTACTCGTAAGTGTTGCATTTACATGGCTGTTTAGAAAACTGCTGCCCAAATTTATTTTATATTTTTGTACAGATTCTGCAGTTTATGATATTGTTTTTCTAAAGACAAATGCTGTTTATACATATGAGATAGCTATTTTGATAGGATTTGCTCACATAGTTCCTGCAAACGTAAGCTGTACAAGTTGCGCTTGTACTTTTATAGAGTCGTAATGTTTTATACGTGTATGGTGCAAGAGAAAATTGGATCAAATCAATCTGCAGTTGATGTCCCCAAATGCAAACACACACACAGCGCTTTAATAAAGGGCCAGGTGATCTGACACCCAAATTTCACAAGCACCAGCCCTTGGCACGATCACCCGCCAAACTGTGACTCCCAAAGCCAGAGCCCTGTCCGCTCATCAAACTTGCATTAAGCCGTTGTGGGGGAGATGGCTGCGGATCCTGGGGTTGATGTGATGGTCTCCTTAGCTCCCTCTCCTGAGCAGAGGCTGTGGTATCTTGTGTCAGAGTATACTCATAGCCGGGTGTGGTGGCGCACCCCTGTGATTCCAGCACTTGGGAGGCAGGGGCAGGTGGATTTCTGTGAGTTCCAGCCCAGCCAGAGCTCTACAGGGAGAACCCTGTGTCAAGGATGGGGGAGTAAGAGAAAGACTGTATTTATGCCAAGTTTGCTCTTTTAATTGTTTTTATTTTAATTTTATAAAATGCAAACCCCAGTCTTACCCCTTTGGCATAGCTTTTATGATGAGACCACAATTTTACATAACAGTTTTACAACAAGCAACTGACCTCTTCGTGGAGCTAAGCCCTACTTCAGTGCTTCGGGCTCATAAAGAAGAAATTCTCCCCGGAAGGCCCCCATCGTGTTGCTGAACTGCCTTTCCCAGTGTCCTTCCCTGGTGGAGCTTTGTTCCCCCTGTTGCTAAGAGCTGCAAATGGCATCTTCACGATCACCACAGTGAGCTCCGCTCACCTCAGCCATCCGGGATGCACTTTCTCAACATCTGTGACTAGAGCCACCATCCGCCACCTTATGTCCTGGTGTCCAATCTGGTTGCTTTCTTTAATTAACTGCTGATTTAACCACACTTTACAAAGCTGTTATATCCAAATACATAACAGGAATTTCTGTGCGTATTTCTGGCCCTCCCCTGTCTCCTGACCCCCAAAGCGGCTCTTTATTTCCAGTGATCCCCCAGTTGTAGTATTTGTCTCTGTGTATCATGCCCATTCTGAGGCCTGCCGCCCTCCCTCCCTCCTTTCTGTTCGGCTTCCTTTCTCGCAGTGGTACTTCAGCTGTGGAATGCAGCTTACAACCTGTATTGTTATGCAGATGGCTTCTTTAGGAATAACTTCTATATTTATTTAAAAATTTTAAATTATGGGATTTTGTTTTTGTTTTTGTTGTCATTGTTGTCGGTCATTTGTCAATATTCAGTTATCAGTTCTGCTCACTTCTTGCCATGGATAAAATTGGGTCTTTCCGGCCACTTAAAAAGATAAATTTGTAAATGGCACTTTAAACAAGCCATAGATAGTTTTATTTTTATAATGCACATGGCAAGCAAATGTGTTTGTGATGAAGGAACTGCTCATCCAATCAAAAGATTTGTGTATGGTGTGATTAATATCTTTTTACATTCTAATTTACCCTTTCCCGTGTGCGCGTGTTTGAAGGGCTGCTTCCCAGCTCTGTAGAGTGGTGAGGAGCCAGCCCATCGAGCTGCACCTGTCCTCCTGCAGGCACCCTCCACACGGGCCTCTCACCATCACACGTGTTTCCTCTGATGCAGGACCAGGGACCATATGAGAAGGTGAGGGTTGTTGATGCTTCCAAGTGTCATTGTGCCTGTCCAGTTTAAGAACTCTTCCTGGAAGAAAGCAGGTCTCCCCATTCTCTGTGTTTTAGAACTGGAGGATCCTGTGAACTGGCCACACGCCACACACATCTCCATACATGTGCATATACAGTAGTGTTGATTCTTCCCAACAAGAATGGCACAAAGCAGTTGATTGCTATTGTCAAAAACTGATTTACAGTAACTTAGAATAACTGTACTTTTGTTGGATTAGCATGTTTTAAACGATCCCATATGTTGGGCAACAGTTCAAATAAACACGGAGAAGTGTCCGCCCGGGCTTAGTTCTCCCACTCCGGTGCATCACCGTCACAACACCTAACCCCGCAAGAGCAGGCACGTGCTTATTCCCCAGACGTGCCTGGGAAACCCATGGCCCGTTTTCAGAAAGAGCAAGCCCATCAAGAGTTAAGACTGACTTTGTGTCCTATTTATATTAAGTGATGTCCCAACAGGGAAGAGGTGGAGTCAGAGTGAGATCAAGTCCCAATTTGAGTGTGGGATATGCTTCCAGATGCTTCCTGGCAGCAGCGGCTCACCTTCACAAAGACAGTCTTGTGGCGTCCAGAGGCAGGCAGACGGCCTGGGGTGCCTGGGCCCAAGAGGCTGTTGTTGACGACTGCGATGTGCAATGGCATGGCAAGGCAGGAGCAGACTCCTGAGAGGTGTAGAGTGGTGGTTTCCCCATAAGTTATTTATTCCTTTGTTTTCCTTTGTAAATATATTTATTTTACTGTGGCGCGCTAACAACAGCTGGGTGGTATGGTGCAGAATGTATGGTAGGAATGTATTTCTCGTAGGAATGTAAATCTGTATCAAAAGGGGGAGCCAAGGCGGCCCCCACCCTGTCTTTGCATCAGATACACGGTCGACACCCATTGTCCCTCATCTCCAATATGGGTCTATTTAAAATATGCAAAAGGTGTGGACGGGGAACGTTTTAATACCTCTAAATTTTTAAGAAAATTGAGCATAAAAGGGTTGGTAATTTTTTAAAGTTTTCTTAGTAGCACTTTGACTTACGACAGAAGGGGCGACACACAGGCACCCACCTTCATACCAAAGGGTGAGGAATGGCCACAGCCTCCCACACCGCTCGAGTGTCCTCAGCAACTGGGCTTTTTATTGCCATAGCCCCTGAGGTGCCCCAACCGTCCTGAGGTCAATCAAGGGAAATTTCTTAACGAAGTAAGCTCCAAAGAGCCAAAGTATCAACTTACGGATCATTTTTAAAGCTTAAATTTATTAACCACCTTTGCGG